AACCAAAGATAAACATCTACATTTGACATAATCACTGCTGAGGACCTGCCCAAGTAAGCCAGGAGTCTTGCCACCCTGTGTAAAAGTCCACAGTTAACCTAGAGACTCTTACGTGTGTGATGAACTAGCCTTGATGAGTATCAGGTTATCCAAGTAAAAAGTGCCTGATAGATAACATGGAATTCCTCTTCTTTTCCTATTTTGGGACCGTTCTGAATTACTGTTTTCCTGCTCACTATTTTCCTTATTATTTTACTGTTTCTCACTTGATGTTTTAATTTTCTGTAGAGATAAGAAAACAAAGCTTTATAATAACTTTTAAGGTAGGTTTTAAAGGGACCAGAATTTTCCTGTTTCTCAAAGTTTTAGACTAAATGTATATCCATAGAGAAATTAACTGGTCAAACCCCCAAAGCAAGTTATATGCAGCTGTACATTTCTTGCTCGGCTTCTAGGCTTAAATGTGTAATACACTCCTTTAAAACTGTGTTTCCATGAGCTTTTCTGGAATTTAGTGGCTTTGGGGGAAGTCCTGATTTCTTCTTTTATTAAAAAGACATTATTTTCCATCATGTACTTAAGGGTGGAAAAGAAGAGTGAGGGAATATAAGGAATTTATAATTTCCTGTTATTTTCCATTTACGGTCTATCCAGTATGAACAAATGTATGAAAATGGTGAGTCTGAGGAGCAGAAATGACTCTGTCACACAGGCATGTGCTCTCCATCAGCCTTGCTTCATCCCTAATGGATGGACCAGCGTTCAGGACGCCTCACGTCCTGCCCACACTACTACAGCCACCTCCACTGCAGCCAGTAAATTCCACAGCAAACCCAGTCAGCTCCTCCCTTTGGCCTAAGGGACTTACTCAAAGAGTAAGGCCAAACACTTCCATTTGGAATAAAGACATTTCATTTCACCATCTGGTCCTCGCTCCTCGCCCCCCTCCCCCCCACTAGTCCTAGGTGCATATCCTGTGCTGTAAGCACATTGAACTTGTCTCCTTTCCTGGCAGGCTGGACCTTTTACAGTGCTAGGCCTTTCCTCCTCTCTGCCCAGGAGAGTCTTACACCTTCTTCAGCAGCACCCTCGCCACATGTCATTGAAGCACTTCGTTCATCTTTCAGTGAATTCTGTGTACACAGGGTGGCAAGACTCCTGGCTTACTTGGGCAGGTCCTCAGCATCCCACGCGTAGTTTGATTCCACATAGACTTTCCTATAGATCAGTGACTGTGTGTCTAGGTTTCTGTTGTCTATTACTCATACATACATTGGTGTTTGACTTTATCAGTCTTCTGTGAATTTGGTGGGTGTGAGTCAGATCTTTCCAACTTGAGCTATTCTCTGGGGAATGACCAAGTTGCCTTTCTGTACTTCAGGGCTGAAGACCAGACCTAGAATGCTGTCAGCCCTCTAATTCTCTGTGATTTTTAAAAAACATGACCATGATAATAGGTGTCTAAGGTATTTGTCTATGGTGGAGCTATAACATAGAATTGAGAACTGGGGCCAACCTGGCGTTGAAGCCCCTTGACACCGCTGTTCTCAACTCACCCAGATGCAGGTGTGTATCTCCTGCTGGAACTGAGGGGATAGTTCCTGGTGGATTTTGCACATGAGGTTTCTCTTTCTGTAAAGGATCAAAGGGGTTTGTTTGGTGGTGCCCTCCGGAGTTGGGGAACAGGATGGTGTGTGGAGACTGAGAGTTAGATGGAAAAACAGCCTGGGAGCTGAGCTGAGACTGGGTAGTAAAGTCTAATGCAACAAACATGTGTTGAGCTCCTGCTCTGTGCCAGAGGTTGTGGAAGGTGCGGGAGAAGCAGAGGAGTAAGATTTGGCCTCCGCCAGGAACTCGGCCTCCTGGTGGTAGTTCAAAAACAGAACGGTTATAACACAGTGTCTAGGGTAGAAGGACAGGGGAAAGGTGTAGCAGAGTTTCTTTTCATTTCCTCGTTCTTACAGCACCTGCCCCACCACAGGCTAGAAGGGGCTCTTCCAAACACCGCAGGATTCTTCCTTCCTACCACCTCTGCCAGCTGATAAGACAAGTGCTGAATACCTGAGCTCAGGTGGGCCAGCCAGACTCTCTGCCAGGAATGTGAAATAGAAATGCCAGTGGCTGCAGTTGTGTGGAAGTTCTAGTGCTCTGCAGGTGGAACACAGCAAGGTGGTTTGCAGAGAGAAAGATGAGGCCAGGGGAAAGCCCAGGGGAGAGGGAGAGAGGATGGCCGTGTCTGCCTGCTTTCCTGGGTGGCTGGCCTCTTCCTGCATTTTGTGTCCTGAGCTCCTGGTGTCTGTGCAGAGTGCCATCTCTCTCTAAGCTATTGAGCAGGTTTGTCCCAGTTGATGAATATTCCTTAAGAAAAATGGTGCAGGAGCTGGTTGCCATTCCAGCCAAGCCTTTCACCAGACAGACACTATTGGCTTTCCTTATGCTTAGATGAGGAAATATTTTTCTGTATACACACACAGGGATTCATGGCACAAGAATTTTTGCATTTTCTTAATTTTAAAAATCTTTGGTATTAGTTTTATATAACATTTTCCCAGTTGAGCTATGAGGACAAAATAAAGGAATTTCTTTTGTGTTGTTTTTTGTTCACAAATTGGCCTTAAGAAGAGACTGAGCCATAAGAAGGCCCAGAACTGGAGGAGGAGGTAAGAGGAAAACCAGAGTTGTTAGTGAGTAGAGCAGAAAAAATTAGGAAGTCCTTTGTAGTCAGGCATCTTTCAAATTCTTGGGGTGGGGGGAACTATTTTAGGGGAAGAAATTCAGTTTCCCATTAGTATGAGGTCATTACATGAGGCATATCAGACCTCCTTCTTTTTATTTAGAATCTTGTTATATACACTTTGTTTAGTTACCTTTCCCACAAGTATTGCTTTGGTTATAACCCATTAGATCTAGATATGTGGTATTTAATTTTTCACTGCCCACCTGTTACCTAGAAGAAAATATTTAATATTCCAAGTATATAGCTTTTTTGTCATAGCTTTGTTATTTCTAATTTTATTACATTTTGTTTGAAAAGTACTAGTGAGTACAAGTGACTTTTTTTTTTTTTGCATTTATTTTTTGCAGTTCATGCCCTAGTATTTGATTAGTTTTAACAAATCTCTTTATTTGATAAGAGATTATATCTTATTGTGGGGCATTTAAGAACCCTACTGCTTATCTATTTCTTCAGTTTTCTGTCATATTTCCTTTGTATGTTCTATTGGTTTATAATTTGGACTAGAAATGTTAATATTTAACATATATGTTCTAAGGTATATTCAATAATTTTATTTATTTATTTATTTATTTATTTATTTATTTATTTATTTATTTTAACACTGTTTAAGTCTATATAAAGGCTCATCTCATAGAGGAGGGCACCGGAATAGGTTAGACTTTGTTGCTATAGCAAGCTCAAATTGTGTCAGACAGTGTCCATCATCTGCCACAGAGTGTTGCTTGCAATATATTCAATAATTTTAATTCTTATATAAACACATTCTATTTGTGCTTATTTTCTCCTGCTTAGTTGAGAACTTGGTTGAGATCACATTGTAATAAAAAGGGAGGGAATTCATTCTTCCTTACACTTATGGCAAGTTATGCTGCTATTTTTGGGTATTTTCTTAGTTTCAGGATTTGTTTTTTCTATTTTAATGAGGTTTCTATAAAAGAGATTAAACTCAAAAGTTTTATGTACATATACACTGGCTTAAAATCAGTTTTCTTTTATATAATACTAGAGGCTCAGTGCATGAAATTTGTGCAAGAGTAAGCCTTCGCAGCCACGGTGGCTACCTCGATCCCTCCCTTGCAGTCAGGGCAGCTGCCTGGATCCCGAGGCTGCAGCCCTGGCTTCATCTGGAAGGTCATCTGGAAGGATGTCCAGATGGCTGTTTGGTCAATTTGCATATTATGCTTTTATTACTATAGATATATTAATATATCTTGCATTAATATATGCTGTATTCTTATACTTGTGTATATCTGAGTTCTCTGTTATTTCATTGTAGTCTCTTCTAGATTGATATTTTGTCCCTCATTGATAGTGCAGTTGGATCAGTGGCTCCCCAGGTCGAGTATAGGATGAAGTTCATCAACCTTGGTCATGCCTGCCTTTGTCTACCTCTGCAGGTTGCCCCTAATTGCAAGCATATACACACAAGTTCATATGGCATTTTGTTAAATGCCTGTCTCTTCTCTTAGGTACAATTATTTAACTCATCTTTGAGTCCTTAGCATATGTCACAGTACATGGAATATAGTAGGTGTGCTATAAATGTTTGCTATGTGGATACTTGTAAGAGTTATATTGGACTTTTCTTCCCTCATACATAAGGGGCAGTCAAAGATAATGGTCTACAAATTAACCTGGTAAGATGGAGAAGTGCTTATCCCATTCTCATTTGAGAAAACCACTTAAGTTGGGCGAGTATTTCTTTTCAAATACACATTTTGGATATTATTTATAATATATGAAAGTTCAATAAAGCTTAGTTTTGCCTCACCTGGATTGTAAACTTTTTGTAGCCAAGGCCATGTCTTAATTTTACTTCTATTTCTTCTTCATGTCTACATGGGCACTAGGCCCTCTTTCCCTGCTGATTATGAATAAAGCAAAGAAATAAACATCCTTCTCCTCTGTTATATGAATTAAAGTCTGGGCATGTCATCATACTGAGCTTGAAGCTTTTTTAGGACACAGAGCATATTGTGTTTATCTCTGTATGCACAACATGCAGCACAGTGCCTGAATTTTAGAAAGAATTTGGTAATTCTTAGTAGTTGTGTTGACTAACCTCCTTGGAAGAGAAGTTTATAAACTACAAATGTTAATGAGATCATAACTTGCCTAGATCCATGGGCAGCATGGATTTGAACTATTACTGTTATTTGAATGCAAAATTATTCAGTTCTGATGTCCTCAGCTTTTTCTTCACTCAGACTATGCATGTTCCTTTAACTTATTAAGCACAGAACTCTGTTTCCCTTCCCTGCAGGCTGCCATGGCTGCCGTTGACAGCTTCTACCTCTTGTATAGGGAAATCGCCAGGTCGTGTAATTGCTATGTGGAAGCTCTAGCCTTGGTGGGAGCCTGGTACACAGCCAGAAAAAGCATCACCGTCATCTGTGACTTTTACAGCCTGATCAGGCTGCACTTTGTCCCTCGCCTGGTGAGCAGAGCAGATCTGATCAAGCAATATGGAAGATGGGCAGTCGTGAGTGGTAAGAAATGGGATTTCACTCCTTGTCTAATCTATAATAAAATATCCTGTTTGTATACAAGTCCTTCGGTTGATCTATTATCTCCCCCAGATTCTCCTCCCCTCCCCGCTGTAATTTGACAATCTGCTTGTTGCTTTACTGTCTCTATATCTTTTGGTTCATCAGTTTATAATGATCTTTATTATCCACAAATGAGTGGGGTCATGTGGTGTTTCTCTTTCATTGATTGGCTTATTTCACTCAGCATGATGTTCTCCAATTCCATCCAGGTTGCTGCAAATGATGAGAATTCCTTCTTTTGTATACATGCATATAAGTACAACCAATGGACATAAAACTCTGGGGAAGGAGGGGATGTGTAGGAGGGAGGGAGGGGGGCAAAAAAAATCAATAATAAAAAATAAATAAATAAATAAAATATCCTGTTTGTGTTTTAGGTTGGGTGTATTATTCCAGAAGTTACTATTGTACATTTCATGGGAACTTGCTGACTTAAAAAAACAACAAGAACAATGTATTCTTATATGATTATGTTCATATTTTCTTACTGCCATCACCTTGGAAGAATTTTCCTTTGATTTTTGTCCTTATTCTGCTCTCTCTTATTCCTAGTATTGCTCCAGACTCACCTTCCTACTCCTTGCTTTCCTTTTTGCTTTCTGTTACCATGTTTAAAAAAGCTTTCCTTGTTTCATTGTAATTTATCATTTCTCTTGTTTTAAATAGCATTGTAATTTATCATTTCCTGGCACATATTCAAGCCAGATATATGTTTGAAAACAGTTTCCTACTGTGTCTCATCAACTTGGTGAATGTAAAATAACTTTTCATCTACCTGTCAGGGTGTCTGGGAGAATGTTTGATACATAATAAGTATTATTCATATTATGACATTGTTCTTGACTGATCAGTATTAGAACTTGCTTTATTTCTAGTGTGATTCTTTCTCTGATTAAGCAGAAATGCTAAATGGGGTATTTAAAAAAAAGCCTCACCATGAAATGAGTATGCTCACGTTTCCTGGTTGTATTGTAGGTGCAACAGATGGGATCGGAAGAGCCTACGCAGAAGAGTTAGCAAGCCGTGGTCTCAGTATTATCCTGATTAGTCAGAACCAAGAGAAGTTGCAGACGGTTGCTAAAGACATCGCTGACACTTACAAAGTGGAGACCGATATCATAGTGGCAGACTTCAGCAACGGCCGTGAGATCTACGACCCGATTCGAGAAGCCTTGAAAGGCAGAGACATTGGCATCTTGGTAAATAATGTGGCCGTGTTTTATCCCTACCCTCAGTATTTTACTCAGGTCGCCGAGGACAAACTCTGGGACATCATAAATGTAAACATTGCTGCGGCTAGTTTGATGGTCCACATAGTGTTACCGGGGATGGTGGAGAGAAAGAAAGGCGCTGTCGTCACTATCTCTTCTGGCTCCTGCTGTAAACCAACCCCCCAGCTGGCTGCCTTTTCTGCTTCAAAGGTAATGTATTCCTGATTAGAAATGAGATCTTAATGCAATAGGACATTTATTATGATGGTTTGGCCCCATCTGTTGAGCTTTTTGTCAGCAACTCATGTTTGCTAATGCTGTTTTTTCCCCCCTCTGAAATGATGATAAGCAAGCCTCATTTTCTCCTGAATTTTCTTCCAAGTTCCATAAAATGAAAATCTTTCCCTCTGCTCCATTTTAACAGGCTTATTTAGACCACTTCAGCAGAGCATTACAGTATGAATATGCTTCTAAAGGAATCTTTGTGCAGAGTCTAATCCCATTCTGCATTGCTACCCACATGACTGCCCCTGGCAGTTTTCTGCACAAGTGCTCGTGGTTGGTGCCTTCACCAAAAGTATACGCACATCATGCCGTTTCTACCCTTGGCATTTCGAAAAGGACCACAGGATATTGGTCCCATTCTATTCAGGTAACAATATGCCTTCACTTTTGTAATTAGGTTAATGCAGTCTTAAACCTTCCTAAATGATACGTGGGAATCCGACGGAAGCCTAAGGCTGAAAGATGAGAACTGCAAATTCTGATTCTTAAACCTGACACTTTTTTTTCCAAAGAAAGTAAGGGTTTATTTTTACAATAGGAAGTGGCCCACGCCTGAAGACAGGTGACCTAATGCTCAGAGACCTGGCTCCAAACCTGATACTGTTAATGGTTCTGGTTAAATCACTCAATTTTCTTTTGTGGAATTAGAGCATTCAAGTTTAACCTACTTGACACCTAAAAGATGAAATGTGCTCCTTTAATATAAGTAGATGGTAGCAGTATAAAATACTAAGAATTTAGATGGGAATTTAAAAATGCAAACATTCTAGTAATGCTTGAGTGGGTACCTCTAAGTCAAAAGTATGATCAGAAGACATAAAACCACAAAGGTCTATTGCATGTAATATAGTTGTCACATCTCAGTAATCTCAGTATATTTTTGGACTCATTTGTTTAAGAAGCGTAGAATTTTATTTTTTTTTCTTCAGGCATAACAAAGAATTGGGTCATTAGTGTTTTAAAGAATAACTTTGTTAAATATTTGCAAATTTGATTCTAAGTATTGAGAACTCATAATGATTTATTATAATAGACACATGTCTTTTTATCTGGCATAATAAGTAGATGTACCCTAGTTTAGAATTCTTTTTTCTTTAATAAGTAGAATTTTCTTAATTATCAACAGATATTTGAGGGACTGTAATAAAAATTATGAACTTTACCATTACCAAATAAATAGATAAGCAAATCAAGAGTGAATTTTTACTTTTCTCAAAAGTTTTGGCTATAACTTTTTAAAAATAAGAAGCAGTTTTATTTAAGTTGTTATTTCCAGGTCCTTAATTACTGGAGATTAGCAGAGAAACCTAAAATAATTTTCCAAGCCACTGACCATGAAGTTTCCTGAGAAATGAAGATATAATAAAGATGATAGTTAGATGCAGTAGATATTTTGACTGCATTTATAAAACACTAATATTTTAATTGCATTTATACTGTATTCACATTGATGGGCTTTTCTGGAGAATGTAGAGGGTTTTTTTCTGTCAAGAAATCCTATTAAGCTAATTTAATTCATAGAATAGTTTTCTATAGAAAACTGTTAACATTTTCTAATTTTTTCTATTTTTATTTTTATTTTACTCAAATTATTTTCAACATCATCAATTTCTTTTCTTGTTTTTTTTTTCTTCCAGTTTTACAACAAATATTTGAGTCATTAGTAGCTGTTTTGTCCATAAGCTACTCTGGTAGCTTCTGCTGTTGTGACTTTTTCTTTTCTTTTTCTCTTAAAAATATTTTTATTGATTTCAGAGAGGAAGGGAGAGGAGAGATAGAAACATCAGTGATGAGAATCATTGATCTGGTGCCTCCTGCACAACCCCTACTGGGGATCGAGTCTGCAACCTGGGCATGTGCCCTTGACCAGAATTGAAACTGGGACCCTTCTGTCCTCAAGTTGACACTCTGTCCACTAAGCCAAACCGGCTAGAGCGTGACTTTGCTTTTATAATTATTTTCTCTGACTTCATTTTTCTCAGATTGCAAAGATCTAAATTTTGTCAAGGTTTCAATTTCTGTCTTTGGCTTATAAAAAATTCACTGTGTGAAGTTGGATATGCTAAACATACTGTGTAAAGTTTTGTTTTGTGCTGTTTATTCCAGTTAGTCTTATATGTTATGAATTAAATAAGAATGATGGACTGACCATATTTCTTGACTAATATTTGGTATTGGTAAGGTTCATTTATTGAACATGACAGGTTGAAGGAAAGGAAGAAACAAAACACATTCTCAGATTCTTGGCTTCAGAACCTCAGTGGTACCACTTAACTCGGGTAGCATGAGAGGAAGAGATCAGGTTTTGGAGAAACAATAAGAGTTTTGCACATGCTGGATTTGGAGGGTCTGGGAAATAGTTAAGAGAAGTGGAGTTGACAGCTACATAGGTGGAGCTCAGGTGAGAGGTTTGTACAGAGGTATAGGCTTACTGGGCATCAGCATTTAGCTGGATGATATGCTATCGGGTTGGTGATACTATCCAAGGAGAGTGTGGAGAGAAGAAAAGATGGCCTGGTCAGAGACTCAAGGAACTCCAGCATTCCAGGGAAGGTGGACTGGAAGGGCAGCCAGCGAGGTTAGTAGGAGAGGAGGAGAGTGGAATATGGATGCCAGGGGGAGAGAGAGTTTTCAGGAGGAAGGCATAGTCATCAATGTCACGTGGTGCCATCTGGCCCATAGCCTAAGGACCAACACATGTCTGTTGGGTTTAGAATCTTAGAAATCCTTGGTGACATTGATGAAAGCAGTTTTGGAGGCATTTTAGGGAGCAGCTGCATTGCAGTGGGTAGGTGAGTATGGAGAAGATGAGGACATGGAGACGGTGTGCTCAAGATACAAGGCTATCGCCTGGCTGGTGTGGCTCAGTGGTTGATCCTCAGTCAGGACACATACCCAGGTTGTGGGTTCGATCCCCAGTAGGGGGCGGATAGGAGGCAGCCAATTAATGATTCTTTCTCATCATCAATATTTCTATCTCTATTTCTCTCTCTAAAATCAATAAACATTTTTTTTTTGGGGGGGAGTATGAGGCTCTACAGGCAGTGAATTGCATCCAAAGGAAGAAATTCTGTTTGCTATTTAATCTATGCAAATCAGCAGTGACTTGACTGTAATTTAATGCTGGAGGAATGGGGTATGTGGAAAAGAAAGAGCTTAAAGATGGGAAAAAAGGAGGTATGATTCCTGGAAGTAGGGGGATAAGGCTAAAAGCACAAGTAGAGAGGAAGTGATGTGAACTTTGAAAACAACTAGAAAGTGAAGAAGGAGAAAGGCCAGGAGTCCACTTAGCAGTTGAGTAACCCAGTCTGATGGCTCCTATGTGGTGAGGGTGAGGTGGAGGGAGTGCGAGGCTGAGAGAGTGAGGTTTGAAATGATACTTGAGAAGGGGAGTGAGGTGCCTGGGGACCCATCAGTGGATGGCTGAGCAGAGAGGAGGCCCGAGTGATGGCCTGAGGATCTACGGTGCCTTCAGCTGTGCAGCTTTTCTCTTGCAGCTCTCAGCACGTTCATATGCACCTATTACACACCTATTACCCGCCTTGAAGCCACTTCAAAGAGGGCACAAAAGTAATTTTACAGAGAACATTTCTAAGTTTGTGTGAAAAGAGGTTATGTTTGAAAGCTTGCACAGAGGTTAGGGAGCAGGTTTTCTCACTCCTGACCCCTGCCTTAGCCTTCCTTACACAGGTCTTCATTTCCTTACATGCCTGTGAAACAGCATTTCTGAACAGGACCAGTTAGAACTGACTCACAACCATGACATAATGTAGCAATTGCATCTTATATATTATGCTAGTTATCTTAATAAAGATTTGCAAGCAAAAAGTTAAAAAAAAATGATTTAGGCTTTAAAAACAGCCAGAAAGGAGTCAAATGTATTTGTTTTCATTGCTAATTAGTTATTAATGTTGATTGGGAAGCATTTTTATTTCCAGAAGTGGCATTAGGTAATATTAAATTGTCAACTTTGGAGCACATAGTAAGCTGGACAGAAAATGGAGGGCCTTTTCTTTAGCTTTCTGTTTTTGATCCTTGACATAAAGGCCAGAAACATGCTGGTGTGTGTGTGGCTGAAAAAACAGTTCATTTGACAACTTGAGCAGTGAGTTTCTTGCCTATGAACATGGAGACTGTGTTCCAGGGGATAGGAAAGCTCGGGAACAGGGAGTAGTGTGGCAGAACCTGAGCTCTCTGACTGGGTCATGGTCTTTTCTGAATTTCTACCTACTTTTGATGTGCTTGTTCACACATGCGCTGTGTGTTGCCATTGGGAAGAGAACACATGTGTTGAGGGTGGTGGTGGAGCTCAGTGGGAATGAGAAGGCCCTGAGACGTGGGTGAGGGTCCAGCAGCCAGGCTGACGTCTTCGTCAGAAGTTAGAGCCCTTTGGGTTTTGTTGCAGAGGAGGACCAGCTCCACTCTTAGGCCTGGACAGACTGGTCAGGAGTCCTGAGCAGGCACAAAGCCTTACAGAACCCGAAATCCACCCCTCCTCTCTTATATACACTCGCACCCGCACCCGCACCCGCACCCTCCTCCTGTTCACTGTGGCACTCTTCTGCGGCTTGGAGTGCCAGACACTTGGCATTCTTTCCTGTGACCATTGTTCTCGAAATAGGTGACGAGTCAGCCCCTTTAGTCTGTCTGTCAGTACGCAGGGGATGAAATCCTCCCCTTCTCTTCCATTAGCTCTTTCCACCAAGCTCTTTCCACCTGCTTCCCAGGATGCTAAAATCCTCATTGGGATGAGCTAGACAAGATGAGCCAGTGACATCTCCAAGCGCAGCACCTTAGGAAACTGTCAAAAAACACCTTGATGCTGGTCCCCCTGCAATGGACAGTGGCAAGGGATGGACATTGAAAACAAGCAGATTTTTAGATGCTGATTCTTTCTTTACTGAATACTGAAAAGAAAAGAAAAAAAGTACTTTGAAGGGGGATTCAGTTATCTAGTCTGTCTCAAGTGTCTATGTGTTTGCGACACTACTTACTGGATCCTTCTCTGAGACCAAAAGATGACTTCTTTCATCTCTTTGGATTCAGAATCTTTTGCTTTAGGACAGCAGCTCCAAGGAGGAATATCCACACATTTCCCCCCATGAAATCCTAGCTGTTTAAAGAAGTCCAAAGAGACCTTAGTCCTTCTCCAAGAAGGTTACCCACTGCTCCAGGCCGAATACTGCGCTCCTGTCTGTGAGGTGGTGGGTTGGAGCTTCTGTGGATTCTGCTGTGAGCAGCTGTGCTCCTGCAGTTCATCATACCGGGACCCCCTCCTTATTTGGTGTGGTTCCTTGGAGCTGCAGGGTAACCTAGACTAGAATTTCGGCACTTGCTGGGGGCCTGCCCTTCTCCCTTTCTTAGCATGCAAAGTGTTAGAACTTTCACACAGTGTAACTTCGATGCTGACAAATCTGCTACGATAGTGCAGGGTTTCTCCACCTCAGCACTATTGGTATTTGGGGTTGGATAATTGTTGTGGAGCTGTCCTACGCATTATAGGATGTTCATGCCATCTGGCCACTGGATGCCAGTAGCACCACCACTCCATTTGTGACAACCAGTATTCTTATAACCCAGAGGAGGGGGGCAAAATGGCCCTGGTTGAGAACCTGATAGCAGAACAACATCAGGTGGACTACCTGGGTCCCCAAGCCATCATCACATCTCAAGACAGTGTTTTTTTATTCAGTTTTCTTATTTAACTTGGCTCCATTCTGCTTCTCAAACCTGTTTTCTCACATAGTACTAACCACACACACGTTTATCTATTTCAGCCACCTTTCCTTCTGGAAAGAGTTTATAATTCTTAAGCAAATTAACACACTTCATATCAAATAATGATGGAATCCTATTACTGCATGTAGGTCTGTCCATCCTCATTAGAGAAAGGGGATGGATGGGTGGTGATCATGTTTCTGTTCCCTTAACTCTAACATATGGTCTTATGCAAAAGAGGTGCTAAGTACAGTAGCATCTAAAGTCTTTTTCCTTTTTAGTATTTAAAGTGATCAGTGATATTGGTTGGATTAAGTAAGATGCAGATCTGTACATTTAAATGTCAGTGGCTTTGGGTTCTAACCTATTAACCTTTTTTTTCTCTTCCATTTTTAGTTTCTTTTTGCACAGTACATGCCTGAATGGCTCTGGGTGTGGGGAGCAAATATTCTCAATCGTTCTTTACGTAAGGAGGCCTTATCCCGCAAACCATGAAACTGGAGATGGTTTGGGAAGCTTTGCCAACTCATGGGAACCTACAGTATTCTGACATTTGGAAGGACACATTTAATTTATCTTCGGTATTTTCTTTTATTACTGATGACTTAGCATATTGTTGGCTCATCATTTGCAAAGCAAACATAATACTTGTAGAGAATGTTGTGGAAAAACTCAAGGGCACAGAGTAAATAATGGCTGAGGCACAATAACTGATTGAGGAAACTCAAATGTCAATGCTTTTCCCCCTAAATTGTTCAAAAGTTGTGTGGTTTATGTTGTTCTAGGAGCTACAGCAATCTGGTACTGAAATATAATGTGACTTGTGACCTCTTACAATTTCAGATGTTTTTTTAAGGGCAATTATTTCAGTAGGTGAATTATAGAATTGGTTTTCAAATGTTCATCAGGAAAGACTACTTAAAAGTGTTATTTTAAAAGGTGGTTTGTACTATAAGCAGTAGAAAACTGTGTGTTGATATTGTGTAGCTCTAGTTGTTTGTCTACAATCTGTATATTGTACTTTCAACTGATATTTCATTAGAGAACCATGTTTGTATGGATGTGTGTATCTGGGCAACTTTATGGGTAAGTTACTTAAAATTTTTTTTTTTTTTTTTTTTTTTTTTTTTTTTTTTTTTTTTTTTGTCAGGATGGTTTAATGTGGAGCCTTACAGGGTATTAAAATTCTAGATTTCATGCTATTGGCTTGTAAGTAAAATATTACTTACAACATTCTGTTTTTTTAACCTAGATTTGGAGGTGTAATGACTGACTGTCAGTAATCTGATGATTTATAGTTATTGTGGATAAGTAGTTATTTCTTAGCCTATGACCCATTTTGTAACTAAAATTTAGCTCTTTAGAGCTTGTTATATCTGGTTTTCATATACTTTTCTATGTAATATTATTTAATTCCAGTAGCATTATTGGTGTAAACATCAAGTATTTATGAAATTAGTAGTTAGAATATGGACAAATGTATGTGATATGTATTGTATCTGTTGAAATAAGTTAGAAGCTCATTCTTGGTTCTTGTAATTTATGATTATAGTGAATAGTTTTATTGGTGTGAAAATAATTATGCATAGCCTCTCCCCTTACCCCCCCTCCCACACACACACACACACACACAATCTGGGTTAACATTGAAAGCTGCTGTGAAATGTTTTTGGTTCAGGTCCTATAAAGCCAAACATTTTGAGGACCACATATGTAGTGCTTGACGGTTGTAAATCACTGTATGAATATGACAATGTGTGCAAAGTAAAAATGTGGAGTTTAATATTGGGACACTGATGCAGAAACTAGTAAAATTTTGAAACCGGGACATTTATGGAATTGTTTTCTCCTGAGATGATGCTCCATTATGAGTAGGTCTAAGCATGCCCTCATGTTTACTCACATTTTTGCCAGTGACATTGCTTCAGTATTTCCAGATGTGGCTTGGATTCAGTTCAGAAGCTCTTCCACTTACAGATCAGGCCTTCATCACATAAGAGGAAGACATTCAGATGTGAAAACGTGCAGACTAATGGCACTACATAACATTAAAGGTATTGACGGAGTTAGTTTAAAGAGCCTTTATTTGGTTACATTTGACTTTTTCCCTCACCAGACAATTATGGTCATTAAGACTAGGAAAAATTTGATTTCCTGCCACATTGACCTGAACCTTGACATGTAATAAGCAGCAGCAATGTTATGTACCATATTTATACCTGTGTTATGTGTCTTATATTTATAGATTAGGTATTGAATCATTGTTAAATGATGAGAATAAATAAACCATGTCAATGATATTTTAAAAATCCTTTACTTGGCAGGACCTATATAAATAAGCTCATTGGTGCAGTTAGTGAAAGATCAAAACCAAGAATCTTCCTTAGGTTTTATGTTTCCTAAAATACTTTTTCCCAGAGCTCATTTTGTACCACTGTAGATGGGGTTTCTTTTTTTTTCCTTTCTTTTTCTTTTTCTTTATTTTAAAAATATATTTTGTTGATTTTTTACAGAGAGGAGGGAGAGGGATAGAGAGTTAGAAACATTGATGAGAGAAATATCGATGAGAGAGAGAGAGAGAGAGAGACATCGATCAGCTGCCTCCTGTACCACCCCCTATGGGGATGTGTCCGCAACCAAGGTACATGCCCTTGACCGGAATAGAACCTGGGACATTTCAGTCCACAGGCCGACACTCTATCCACTGAGCCAAACCGGTTTCGGCTCTTTTCTTTAAAAAAAAAAAAAAAATCTATATATATATCAAAAAAAAAATCTATATATATATATATAGATTTTTTTTTTGATTGATTTCAGAGAGGAAGGGAGAGGACGAGAGAGAGAAACATCAATCATGAGAATCATTGATCAGCTGTCTCCTGCACCGCACAATGGGATTGAGCCCACAATCCAGGCATGTGCCCCGATCAGAAATTGAATCTGATCTCCATATATTTGTATTGTTTGAAATGATCTCCTGTTCCTATGTCAGCGCTCAACCACTGAGCCATGCTGGCCAGACCTAGATGGATTTTCTTACTAAGAATGGGGGAAATAACCTTTGAAACAATCTGTGAACTGAAAATTTAACAATGAAAGTGGTTGCTGCTTCCTTTGGAAGAGGTTTTGCTCCATATATTTGTATTGTTTGAAATGAGGGATACATTTTTTCCCCATAGGAACAATTATTTAAAAATTGCAAAAACGTAATTTATGAACTTAATTTATGATGCAATTTAGTTAGAGCAGATAATTAAGCAAGGAAATTGTACATATGCATGTCTTTTGAAAATATTAGGTTGGTTTCTTCATCTCATTCTTCTGATAAGGTAAGATGAAGGTTGATTTTTTGACCATTGACTTTGGCAAATTAACACACTTCATATCAAGCAACATGGATTGGTGGGGATGAAAGGGAGATTGTAATGAGTTCAAGAAAGAGTGGGAAGGACAGGAAGACAGCAAGGAGAAGACAGCTCTATTGAGAAGTGTTTTTGCTGTTTTAATCTCAAGTTACTTAAAATCTTGTCACATTTGGGAACCAGAGAGTTTAGGTGGTGTCTTCTATCTTTGACATTGTGTACCCTCCAAAACAAAGACCATTCTTACCTTGTCTTTGTCTCAGTATTGGCTAAGCTGTTATTCTCTAAAATAACAGTTAGTTGAAATAAAGATTTACTTTCTATGGGATGTCGAATGCTTTTTTACACACCTGAAGCATAGGTTTTGGAAGTTAGAACCTGAAGTGATGGAAAACCGGGAGACCAGGATTCTGTGGTTCTCAGCCTTTCTTGGTAGATTTCTCAGCCATCAGTCTCATGTCTGAGTCCCCTTCAGTTTACATGGTTCTAAGGAGCTGGCAGCATTCTTTACTTCCCTATTTTTGGGCTTCCCTGCCAAGGATGTTTGCAATGCACTAGCCTACCTTAGCCCTTGACACTTGGGCTATGTATTCAGTGGTACAGTGACTTAAAGGCCCCTTAAAAAGAACCCTGGCCAAAATCAATTTATCTCAATTTAGAACAGTTAAGTTTAAGATCAAGTGCATTAATCATGGCAGCAGGGAGTTCTGCTTAACTTTGAGGATCTCAAAATGGGGGAGACTTTCACCAGGTGTGGATTGGTTAGATGTAACCACCACTTTTTACTGAACATATTATGACTTAAGCTTTGTATGTTTTATTTAACCCTCCTATGAGGTAGGTATTAATATCTTGGAGGGGAAGGGGAGTAGGAAGGTGAGGTATAAAGAACAGAGGTGCAACTTGCCCAAGATCAGAAGCTAGCAGATGATTATGTATCCACTATATTAAACCAGTTTGTTAAAGGGAAGATGAAGTGCTGTGATATTTCTGGTCATATTGGTCCTTTGCAACATTATCATGCTGCGGTGGAAAGTTAAAACATAAGCAGCTTTATGCCGAAACCGGTTTGGCTCAGTGGATAGAGCGTTGGCTTGGGAACTGAAGGGTCCCTGGTTCGATTCTGGTCAAGGGCATGTACCTTGGTTGTGGGCATATCCCCAGTAGGGGGTGTGCAGGAGGCAGCCGACCGATGACTCTCTCTCATCGATGTTTCTAACTCTCTATCTCTCTCCCTTCCTCTCTGTACAAAATCAATAAAATATATTAAAAATATATATAAAAATAAATAAAACATAAGCATTTTTATTTGACTGCATAGCACATCATTTTTCATAAACATTACCTTACCTAAAATATGTTTTCCGTTCCCCAATTGTGCCCAAGCCAAGTATGGTCCACTTCAACATTTCTACAGAAAACAGCCTGTGATCCCTACCTAGCATTGAAATCACCCACGCATTTTGGTGGAGGCACACTTTTGATACTTATTTCTTTGAAGGGGGTAACACTAGGTCTTATTGGTCCAGACAAGGCGGAGAGGAGACCGGAGTGGAGCAGACAAGATTTGGGGCAGGGGTTTCGCCTGTCAGGGTGGGAGTGAGACAGGAAACTGACTGACTCACAGATGACTGCTCTCAGCTGCCTTGTAGGTGAACAGGTAGGGGTTTGCAGAGTTGGTGGCGCCCGGGCTGGGCGCTGGATACCGTTTCTGGAGTTTATAGCAAATGCTGGCCACGGGGGCCGTTCCGTCAGGTTTGTTGTCCGCAGGACATGGGCCAGTGTGGCTGCTTTCGTGCCATTACTCTAAGATCCTGGCCCCAAAGCCCAAAGCACCCCACGCCAGGTACTGCTGCTACCGCAGAGCAAGGCGAACAGCCCGCTGCCCCGCCCCTTCCCCGGGGCCTCAAACGTCGCGAGACTGTCGTTCGTCTTCCGGCCCAGACCCTGCGGCCCTCCGTGTTCAGAGTGCGCACGCAGGCTACGCACAGCCGGCGGGGCTGGCGTTCTCAGCCCTGGGTCTCCCTGTCCCATGGCGCATTCTCGCGAGAGTTGGGAGTAAACAGCCCCGAATGGAGACTCGAGGCGTGTTCGCCGCGGAGAAGCCGTCATCCTGGGCCCCCCGGACCCGAGCGTGAGGCGGCAGCAGGTAAGTGAGGGGGCCGCTCTCGGAGTCACCGCATCTCCGGATCTGCGCAGCTGTCCGCGCGTTCTGAGGTGCTCCTCGCGCCCGAGGCCCCGAGGATGGGGGTCTGCGCCGGCGGTGTGGCGGGGGCTGGGGCTTCCCGGCGACCCTGGACCGGCGGGGAGCGGACCCGGGTTGTGGGGCGCGGGCCCGGGGCGTGCGGTAAAGCGAGGCGTTTAGACATGCCGGCTACACGGTAGGAAATGAACAGTCCCCTCGGCTCGCCAGACCCCGCCGGGACGTAAACGGCTGTTCTCCCTGCCCGGCCTCTTCTGCGTGTTTACACGGTGAGGCAGCTGGCTCAATTTCATGTTCTTTCTGTGAAATACGCTTTAACGGAGTGAAACAATGTGCCGGGCTCTGGCTATGATCCTCAGCCCCCGAACATACCCGAGTGCTAGGGTATGCTCCGGAATGGTTCTAGTATCAGATTTTTGGGGACCTCAGTTCTTTGCCCTCGCTGAGTCTGCACACTGCTCCTCTGATTTTCAAAAATGCAATGTAAGAAGCTCGTCGGCAAGGGTGCCCCTGAGGTTCTTTGGTTTGCTCAGAACCAGCATGCCTTTCAGACCTGTCGGATCTTCAGGTCTTGCCATGCCCTCTCATGATGTGCTTCCTATGACTGTTACAGATCAACATCATTTTTATTAAGGTGGTTTACCCCTTGCTTTTGTTAGAGCCACTGAGAAGCTTGGCCTGTTTGTGTATGCAAATTAAGTTCAATATTTACATTTACCTTAAGAAACTACCAAGAGATAGTGTGACATAAGATCTGAGTTGAACTCTGGAGAATTTAGTTTCCTGTGGTCCTTTAGTCTTAACTGTGCTAGTAAGTAGCTCTCTAACTTCAAGGTCTCATTTTGTATATGTATAAAAAGGGAGGGGGCCTGGAAAGCAGTGATTCTTCCAAACTTTTTTTAATCTATTAATGTAAGGTAAAATTTACATCCTGCAAAATTCACCTGTTTTAAGATACTGATTCATTGATTAAAAAAAAAAAATCAAATTTCAAGATGTGTAATCATAACCACAATCCATTTTTAGAACATTTCTATCACCCCATAAAGATCCCTGGTGCCCGTTTGTAGTCACTACTCATTTATAACTTGAGCCCCAGATCACCACTAATCTTTATGTTTCTCTAGAATTTTCTTTTCCAAATATTTGATTCAGGTGGAATCATTCGTGACCCTTGTGTCTAGCTTCTTTGATTTAGCATAATGTTTTCAACGTTCACCCATGTTGTAGCTTGTGTCACCATTCCTTTTTGTGGCACAATATTATTCTTTTTTATGGATACAAAACATTTTGTTTATTCATTCACACAGAACACCTTTTGCAAATAAAATTTTATTTCATGTTCCCGTGTAAGATGCACATGGCCAGAGGCCTTCATTGGAAGGGGGTGTGTGTGCGGGGGCGGGGACG